CCCTCAGGGGCCCCGGGACGGGCCACCCGCGCTGGTGAGCGGTGCGCGCGCAGGGCCAGCACCCACGGACCTGACCGGACTGGCCACGCCCTGCTGACCGCCGAGGCAGCCCGGCGGGAGGGGCCGGGGAGGGGTCTCTGACAGCCAGGCTTCCGGGCAGGAGCTGCATCCCTGTCTTGAGGTGGCCAAGGAGATGTCCGGTTACCCAGCGTCCGACCCGAGGCTGGACAGAAGGGCCAGCGCGGCCTTGGAAATCGCAGAGCAGGCGCGTGCGCCCCTGGCAGCCCACAGCAAGGCCAGCACTCGTCCGCCTGCCCTACTGACACCCGCCGGCCAGGTGCTGCCGCCGGGAGAGAGCCCTGCCTTCCGCGCCTTGGCGGAAACCTGCCTTTTGAAAAGGAACTCAACCTGGCGTTAGTGATCCACGCCTGTAGCACAGCACTCCAAGAGGATGAGACAGGAGAACTGCAAGTTCCAGCCCAACCTGGGCAACTTAACAAGACCCTGTCTCAAAATTTTAAAATGTAACCGCAGGAAATGTAGCTCGGTGTGAAGGCGAGTTCAGTCCCCATGGTGGGGCAGGGGTGGGAGGTTTCTGGGGATTTTTCTCCTCCTTGTTGTTTGTTTGGTTGAAGTACTGGGGATTGGATTTAGGGCCTCTGAGCTGAGCTCTATCTTCGGCCCTTTTTAAAATTTCTTTTTAAAGGGTATTGTTAAATTGCTAAGATGCCCAGACTGGTTCAAACTTGAGACTCTCCTGCCTCAGCTTCCCAGTGAGGTATGCTTTGGGAATAAGATCATGGACAATTGGGAGGCTGCATTAGCAGGATTTGGAAACACCCAAGACTTCAGTATTTTGTCTCTGTCAGAAGTCACAAGAGAGCCGGTGATATAGCTTAGCAGACAAAAGTGCCTACCTGGCAAGCACAAGGTCCTAAGTTTGATTCTAGGTACCAAAAAAAAGTCACAGAAATATGATATACCCGCTTCATGCACCTTACTGGATGATCAGGAAGAAAAATTGGTACATCCTGCTGGCAGCTTCCTTTATGCTCAAGGCTAACAAATCAGTGTCTTGTAACTTGCCCAGTTCTATAATGAAATGTTATTTTTATAATAAAAATACAATTAGTAAATAAGAAAGTAGTGTAGCCCTAAAAGAAAGAATAATAGAATGTTCCTGGCATCAAAGACAAGCAAGACATTAAAAGGAAGAATTAAATTTTGTCCCCAAAGTTGCCAAAAATTGGGGGGAGGCAGTGCAGGTAGAGGGTGTTTAAGGGGCAGCGCATAGGAAGAGTTTAGTATCACCTGCCCCACTGCAGTGTCACTACCCCTCCCTCGAGTGACATTAAATTCAATACAGCAAGCACGTTTGCTATTCAGAGACCGCTTCAGGAATAATCCTATTGCTAGGCGTGGTGGCGACCACCTGTAATCCCAGCACCCAGGAGGCTGAGGCTGGAGGATCATCTCAAATTCAAAGCAAATTTAGGCTACACACTGAGTTCAGAGCTAGCTGAACAACGTAACGAGACCCTGCTCAAAGAAATAAATGAATAAATAAGAAGAATAATCCCGTAACTCCCAAACAGACAGGCCCTGCTGTGCATCCCCTGCGGAGAAATCCCAGAACTGTCTCTGGGTGCAGTGGAGGGGTTGGGGCCTTCCTGCCTTAACTGAGTCTCTCTCATGACCCTCGTGATGCTCAGGTCCCCCACAAGGTCCCCAGTGTTGCTCTTCCCGGCCAGGGACACAAGGTCCGTTCTCAGCGTGAGCCCATCCACAGCTCTGCAGCTGAGGAGGCTTTGTTGGTGTCTGTTAGACCCAGGGGCTGCCGTTCGGGAGCTGCCTGCTCATCAGTGACGGCCCCCTCAACAACAGCACGGGGACACCTTTCTTCTACGTGACAGCCAAGGACCCGGTGGTGGCTGGCCTGCTGAAGAACCCCATGGCTTCGCTGATGCTGCCCGAGTCGGAAGGGGAGTTTTGCAGGTAAACAAGGGTTTGGGGTAGAGCTGGAGGGTGGGCTGCATGTGGTAACAGGCCCTGGAGATATAAACTGATCTTCACCCTTGGCATCTGATACTTTAGCATGACTGACCAACTTGATTTGGAGCAAGTTGCTTAATCTTTGTGACGCCCAGTTGTCTGCTCTGTAAAATGGGGATGCAAATGAACCTTGACTCGCACTGGGATCCCAGCCCTATAAAACACTACTGCACAGTGCAAGTACTGTGAGTGGACAGTGTCTCCAACAGCCTCGCCTGCCCGAAATGTTCTCAGCACACTCACATTGGCTGACTGTCAGGCAGAACCATCTAACACAAAGCCTGCTTTACAATCCACTGTTGGATAGCTCGTGTAACTTAGCGCACTCTGTGCTCAAAGGGAAAAGCAGAACGCTTGTTCTGTGTCAGTCGCCCAGGGAAAGATCCAAATTTAGAATCCAAAGTAGTTTTTATCGAATGTACAAAAACTATCATAGAAACTGAAAATCCTACATTGAGCCACCATAATTTGAGAATGTTCATAACAGTTTTACTCAGAGTTATTCGAAGTATTGGGTGTAGGTGCAAAGGGCTTGTGTAATAAAGAAGTGGCTAAATGGCAGTTATCCGCATCGTGGTCTTCAAAGTCTCCTGTATACAGGTACATCTCAGAGTCTTCAGAGAGACACTGGCCCGGGATTTCTCAGTTAACCCCATACAGGAAAGGACACTGTAATGTTCCTTCCAGAGCTCTTTAAGGGTTAAATCTGCATCTGAGACCATCTAGACCACATTTGGGTCCTAGCTCAAGACTCTGGTCATAAGTTAAAACTAAAATTCTGGTCATAACCCAAGTTGTCCACATGTCAGGCTAGTCAGAACTCAAGAGTCCACTGTATTTCAGCGCCTTAACTGGCCTGCATGCTAAAGATAGAATTAGATCTAATTGAATGGATGATGGACATTAAGTATCTAGGACTCCAGTAGTTTCAGAAAATTTAATGATGAAGAGAATACATAACACATGTGATTTTCTTGGGGGAAGCTGGGAGAGGCTACCATCTTAAGAATGATAGAAGGAACAAGTACCTCTTCAAATGTTATAGAGGGACCCTAAAGGTTTTCTAAATGAATCTATAAAATCCAGGGTGGGACACTCCACCCCCACAGTTAGGGATTTTTCCCCAAACTTTGCATCACCCTAATCAGCTTGCCCTTGCACTTTCCCTAAAGTTCCACAATAAAGTTACTAGATTTATTTGCGCGAAACTGTCCTTACTCTGGGGCATGTTGAATTGGGTGCCATTGCTCTGACTTTCAAAAGTGACTTTCAGTCCCAGAAAAGCCCTAGGTTGGGGGTTTCTATGGGACAGAACAGTCCAGAGAAGTTGCTGCATATTGTGGTTCAGAGCTACGGTGTCCCCCCAAAGGCCTTTGGAAGGTGACTGGGTCGTGGTGACTACTGTCACCAGTGGGCTAATCCATTGATGGGACATAATCTGAAGGCATTATTGGGAGCTGGAAGGAAGAGGAGGTGGGGCGTCGTTGAAGGCAGTGGACTGTGGGGTAGGACTTTGAGGACCTCAGGTCCCCAGACCTTTCCTCTGGTGCTCACTCCCTCTCTCTGCTTCCTGCCTGCCATGAGGTGAGCAGCGTTGCTCCTCCACACCCTTCCACCATGATGTTCTGCCTCACCTCAGACCCACAGATGGACCGGCCAACCCTGGGCCAAAACCATGAGCCATAAGAAGTCTTTCTTTGTCTAAGTTGATCTTCTCAGGTGTCTTGTCACAGCTGACTAACACGCTGGAGCAGGATGAAATATCCTGCTTAGTCAGCACTTCAGTAGGTCCACTGGAGTAGGGAGGGGAAAACATCTGAGGGCCTCAGGCTCCAGGATGGACTGGAACAAGAGTGATAGAGACAGATGGATGGGAGAGGGGCCTAGACTGCGATGTGTGTAGATGGCGGGACCTCCATATCTGTGGGGTCCTCATCCACGGATTCAACCAAGCCCAGGTCAATATATTCAGGGATAGAAAATGTGTCTGTACTGTAAGGACAGACTTGGTCTTGTCCTTATCCCCTAAGCAATGCAGTATAACAGCTATTTACACAGCATTTACATTGCGTTAGGTGTTATAAGCAATCTAGAGATAGTTAAAGGGTGTAGGAGGGTGTTTGTAGGTTACATGCGAATACTGCACCACTCTGCAGGAGAGACTTGAGCTCCATCTGTAAATTTTGGTTCCTGTGGGACATCCTGGAGCAAATTCCCCAGGGATACTGAGGGGCGACTGTGTGTGTAGTCTACATAGACAGCCGTGTAGAATACTATACAGTGACAGCTCCTCAGGTTGACAATAGAAGAGCTGCTTGGAGGACGGGGGTGACAGGGACATACTAATGACCTGGACAGCCCTGCCCCTCCCCCAGCACATGGACCTAGATGATGAAGGTTTGTAGCTTGAAGGAGTCCACGGTGAGTCTGATACTGTTACTGAGGACATTCGTAGGACTTAGGTACATTTTCTGCATTTCCTGTAAAGAGACCTGCTAAGAACTGTGACTTAGACCCCAGCACAGCTCATGTCCTTTATGAAAAGTCCAAATTAGAATCTGATAGAAAGACAGATACCATTCAATCCCATTTGTATGTAGAATCTGAAGAAGCAGAGGGTAGAACAGTGTTCCCCACAACCTGGTAGGGAGGGGAAGGGAAAATGTGGATCAGCAGATGCAAGCCTTCAGTTATAAGATGGACACATTTTGATAATTTAATTAATAATGTTCAGGATGGTTCATAATGGATTAATTAATTTGATTGTGATAATCATTACACAGTGTATACGTACATCAGATCATCACATTGTACACCCCCAGTGTATTCGATCTTTATTTGAAAGCTAAATATTTTAAAATTAAAGAAAGACTACAGTGTGAGAAACATAGTAAGGGAGGTAGCTTTCCCACTTGTCAGACATCACATCCATTTAAATAAGGGTCTATGTGCTTGTCCAACATAATATTTGCTAGTTTGTCTAAAATCTGTTTTTTTTTTCCAGTTATCCTGTTTAGTCCTAGGTGCTGAGATTTCTTTTTTTTTATTATTTTAAAGAGAGTTAGTAAATGAGAAACAAACAAAAAAATAGAACAGTGGCAGCATACCAGTATTATGAACATAAACAAATCAAAGCAAGAATATTCAAAGTGATGCAAGCTCTCAAGACAAAATAATACAAATCAACAGTGGTTGTTACATTACGTATTGCTATCCTCAACTACACAGCTCAGATTACCAGATGTAAGAATGAAAGATTGCTCAAACCATTAAAGAGAAAAAGAAAATAATTCTTCTATAAAACAGTAGAGATAATACAGAGTTTCACTAGACAAGATGGTAGGAGTTCACCTTTGTAATTCCATTGCATATTGTTACCTTCAAATCAGTTGCTCAGACCACCAGACACAAGTATGCAAAGTCAATCACAACATAAAAATTGTAAGCATTAACTGTTCATTTCAATACACCATCCAACATCAGCAATATAGTTATCACAGCTATCCATATATATTTATGGTTTGCCTTCCTTCTTTCTTTTTTCTTCTTCCCCTCATCCCACTCATTCCTTCCTTTGAGTAATTTCTTTCCCTTTCCTATCATCTGTTGTACATTTTGAGTTTTACCTAGTCTTTCAGGTTCCTACACCAAGGAGACAATATGATGTTTACACATCTGGGTCTGATTTCTTTCACTTATGAGTATGGTCTCTAGTTGCATCCGTTTACCTACAAAAGCCTCGAGTTTATCTTTTTAAATAGCTGAGTAATACTCCATTTTATAAAAATACCGCATCTCTTTTATCCATTGGACATCCTTGTTTTGTTCCTGATTTTAAAGTGAAAGCTTTCAATTTTTGACCATTTAGTATGATGTTAGCTGTTGGTCTATCATAGATGGCTTTGATGAGCTTGAGGTAAAGACCATCTATTCCTATTTTCTGTAGGGTTTTCATCATGAAGGAGTGTTGGACTTTATCAAAGGCTTTTTCTGCATTGATGGAGATGACCATGTGATTTTTGCCCTTGGGTCTATTGGCATGGTGTGTTACATTAATTGATCTGCATATATTGAACCATACCTGCATTCCTGAGATGAATCCCACTTGGTTGTGGTGTATAATCTTGATGACTTGTTGTATTCTGTTTGCTAGTATTTTATTGAGAATTCTTGTATCTATATTCATTAGGGAGACTAGCCTGTAATTCTCTTTTTTCATTGGGTCTTTCTCTGGTTTTGGTATCAGGATTATACTTGCCTCCAGGAATGAGTTGGGGAGAATTCCTTCCCTTTCAATTTCATGAAAGAATTTGAGAAGAATTGGTGTTAAATCTTCCCTAAATTGCTTGTAAATTCAGCTGTGAATCCATGAGGACCCAGGCTTTTCTTCATTGGCAAGTTTTTAATTACATTCTCAAATTCACTCACTGATATGGAGTTATTCAGGATTTTTATATCTTCTTCATTCAGCTTTGGTAATTCATATGTATCTAGAAATCTGTCCATTTCCTCTGTGTTTTCCATCCTATGAGAGTAAAGATTTTCAAAGTAGGTATTGATAATCTTCTGAATTTCTTCAGGATCTATAGTGATTTCACCCCTTTCATTCCTTATTGTGTGTATTTCAGTTTTTTCTTTCCTTTTTTTGATAAGATTGGCTAGGGGTTTACCTATTTTATTTATTCTTTCAAAGAACCAACTCTTTGGTTCATTAATTCTTTGTATTGTTTTTTGTCTCCATTGCGATAGTTTCTGCTCTGAGCTTTATAATTTCCTGCCTTCTTTGGGCTCTGGGTTTGACTTGCTCTTCTTTTTGTAGAAACTTGAGGTGCAGCATAAGATTATTTATTTGTGCTTGCTCTGTTTTCCTGAGGTGGGAATTCACCGCTATAAATTTCCCTCTGAAGACTGCTTTCACTGCATCCCACAGGTTCCTGTAGGTT